TATCCAAAATTGAATCATTTCAACACGTTATCAGTATGAAAAATTATAAATGAGATATTTGGCATCCTCCTTATGCTATGTCTTCAAAATCTGGCATACGATTTACATTTACAGCATATATCAATTAGAACTAGCCACATTTCAAGTAAGTTTGAGAGAATTTCATGCTTTCCTGTGATATATATATATATATACAATTTCCAATTTTCTGTACCAACATTTAGAAAGGGAAACATGGGAAATCAATTTTAATAACATTTTATTTTACCTGCTATATCCAAAATTGTGATATATAACTTCTGGTAAGCCAGATTTGATGATGTGATGGGGCTTCTGCTGAGTCGGGGAACATATCCCAGTCCACCCCTTCACAAACAGGGTTCCACAGGAATTGTAAGCCTAATGCCCTAGGACACCCATTGTATATTATGATTTAACTTCTATTCTATGCATGAGGATGGTCCTAGTTAGGAACTCTCCTTAGGAGATTTGAGAAAATAGTTACTCAAATCATTGTCTAATGAGCTTAATTCTCTCCAGAAAAGTCTGTATGGTCTATTTTTTTTTTTTTTACCTAAGATGCAGTTATTTTATTTAATTCATCTGTTTCAGTTAAATATCACTTGATTTATAATCTCCCTGGTTTCAAGAGGATAACAGAGAACCATAGAATGTGTTCTGGGGGAAGTGGTGGGTCCTTGGTGATGGCAGGTTTCCTCCAGGAGGGGAAAAGTTACAATACGGTTGTCCGTAAGTTTGGCTATTTAGAACAATGGGAAATAGTGGAAAAGAGAAGCCTTTTCTTCCAGGTTTCTCACGTAGAAGTCAGCATGGAAGCTCAGGTAGAGAAAGGAACATCCTCCATTTCTTCCCTCACTCGGCTCCCTTTGTTACTGTGGAAGAAAGACCGGCAGAGCTGTCCTATGACTTCAAGACAAAACTATGTTGACTCTTCTTCTTCCTCCCTCCTGTTTACTTAAATGTGATAAGCAGAAAAGGAAGGCAGGATTTCTAAGGCCTAGGAGAGGACAGCTCTCTCCCCCCGGACCTCTACTTCTTGTGTAGAAGCTGTAGGATGAGCTGGGGCCCTTCTTGGAGGCTGGACACATCTCTCTTGAACCCACTAAAGGGTAGGCATTTAGACTAAGGCAGGATGTGGGAGGCTCCACATCAGTCCTGAGGATGTGATGTATCTGCAACCTAGCTTTTGACAGTGATTTCCAGCAGGAGGAAGAGGAGTCACCTATAGGGAGCCTGTCTACCCCTTCATAAAATTATGCTTTGGCTGTTATTCTTTGGGTGAGTTCCAAGGTCCAAGACTCAATAGAAAGAGGAACAATTGATAGGACTGCATCACCAAATTCCTTAACTGGATGTTTAACAGTAAGCATTGAACACAGTTCTATGAAGCAGATGTTTTGTTTTGTTTTGTTTTGTTTTTGTTGTTCACTGCTATATATCTAATACCAAGAATAGAGCTTGGCAAATGATGAGAGCTCCATATTTATAAAATGAATGAATGCAGATAGAGGTGTGCGGTACAGCTTGTGCTGAAGCCGGGCTGTCCCATTCAGGACCCGTTAGCCATGTGTGGTTACTGAAGTTTAAAGTAAGTATAATTAAGTAAAATTTAAAATCCAGTCTCTCAATTACACTCACCCCATTTCAAGTGCTCAGTAGCTGCAGGTAGCTAGGGCTAGATGATTGTATTAGAAAGTGCAGCGAACAATCTATTTCTCCTCGAAAACTTCACCTAACTTCTTTGAACCACAGGCTTTGGAGAGGCATTTGTAAATGACAGGTTGGTTTAACAACCTCTAATTAATTATTTAATAATAAAGCTGCCATGATGCTGCTCAGGAAATGCCATCACTTTATAATTCCACAACCAGAGTTGGCCTCAATAATGATGTTCTTAAGGTTTTGCTTTCTAGAAACTATCTTGAAGAAGTTATGAAAACCAAGTTTTCAAAAATTTCAAAAATGCATCTTCTTGGTTCACTCCCAAGTTGCCTGTCCTCCCTTTGGAAGTCCTCAAATGTCTTCTTCTGTCCCTTTGTATGGCTTGAGTGATTTCCTCCAAGTCAGCACCCTCAGCTATGACTAAGTGACAAGAAGTAACAAGCCAGTCTCCAGCTTAGGTCTTTCTTGAGACTGAACTCATTCTAAACTGCTTAGGGGAGCTCATTTCCTTACGTGCAGCTGGTACAAATCCACCTGACAGTTAAGGACACCACCCTCTTTCCACTGCCCAAGTCAAGAATTCCAGTCATCTTTACCCCCTCCATCTCTCTCATCCCAGACACCAAGTCAGTCACTAGTTACTATTAGTTCTTCATTAAGCAAAACTGTCCCTTCTTTCCCCATCATCTGCTTGGATTGTTTCTGCTTTTATTTCCATGGAAATGACACAACTTCATAATTCTCCCAACTGGTCCCCTGCCTCCACTCTTTCTGCCTCAAATCCACTATCTTCATTGCTGCCACAGTGATTTTTTTTCTTTTCTAAATAAGAACAACACAAGCAACAGTAATGCCACTTGCTTGTTTCAATCCTTCCTTGGCTCAGCTTCCTGTTGCTTACAGAGCCAGATCTGATGTCCTTAGGCTGGATTAGGAAATTGGACTTTGATGTGTCTTTCTGGCTTAAGCACATACCACCCTATCACATAAGCAAGGAGCCAGCTCCATCTGGCTTTTTACCCACTCCCTGCTTTACACATCCTTGCTCATCCAACATGCCCTTCCCCACTTTTTTTAATGCCTCTCTATTAGAATATGAACTCCATGAAGACAAGAACTTGATTTGTTTTGTGCAGTACTGTACACCTAGCACAAAGAACAGTGTCCTAAGGTCGGTGATGAGAATTTCTCTGTTGAATAAGTCAATCTACTATTTTATTTATTTTTATTATTTTTTTAAAGATTTTATTTATTTATTTGACAGAGAGAAACACAGCGAGAGAGGGAACACAAGCAGGGGGAGTGGGAGAGGGAGAAGCAGGCTCCCCGCCGAGCAGAGAGCCCGACCCGGGGCTCGATCCCAGGACCCTGGGATCATTACCTGAGCTGAAGGCAGACGCTTAACGACTGAGCAACCCAGGCACCCTCAATCTACTATTTTAAAGATCTGTTCCAAGGCCAACTCTGTGATGAAGCCTGTCCTGCCCCTCCTTCCATTCTCAGCAGGGTAATTGCTCTTCTTCATGACAGCAAAACACACCAAATATACCATTATTTTAGTTCTAACATCATATTACATATACTCATATACATGTCTTTCCTTTCACTTGAGCTCCTTGATGGCAGGAGTACTTTCATCCTCCCCAATGCCCGTCGTCGTAGCCAGTTCATAGTAGGCACTCAAAAACTGTTTTATGAATGAGTGAATACAAGAGATGAATTAGAAGAGGAAGCAATCAGAAGGGTTCTCACACACACACACACACACACACACACACACAAAATGAGGAATAAGACACACAAATCACCCTTATGTAATTCAATGTTTCAGGGTTTCTTCTCAATGAGAGACAGATTTTAGGCTGGCTGCTTGTGTTGACCTTTAATTCCCTTTTGTAAACCATAATTTCAAAAGACAGTCTGGCTCATAAAACCACACAGGTAAGTTGCAAATCCACCAATTTAAGAGTTTTATAATGGAAATACTGATAGATTTTGACCTTTAATGAGCCTCCACTTTCATTATTAGAAAGGTTCTACTCTTTTGTACTAAAGAACTCTGATTTGTGGATATTTTATGGTATATTTATTTCAGTTGGTTTTTGCCTTCAGTCACCTCAGCAAAAATAAAGAGATTTCCCCAGTGGAATTTCAGATATGTATGCCTACCAAGAGGGAGGCAGAAGAGGAAATGGTCATTTGATTTATTCATGACTCTTTGCAGATGCAATGTATTCTGCCCATGCCCATGCTTAGGATCTGGTGACTCCATTTCTAGAGCTCACACGGTGGTGACCACTATCTGTCCTAATTGAATGACATATGGAAGCCAATGACTGTCTTCTCACTTGTGAAAAGCATTCATGCTCAGCATAGCTCGGAATGGGCAAAGCCTAGCAATTAAAAGCACAGATGGTATGTCGGTGGCATCAAAATTTCTTTAGAAACAAAATCGAGAAATTAAAATGTAAAACAACACATTAAAAACTAGACACCTCAAGCATGTAATTGTATATTTATTTCTCTTTTTAAAGAACACTCCTTAATGTAATTCAATATACAAACTTGGTTTCACAGAATTATAATCCACTATATAGCACAAAGATAACCCAGATTGTGTGTGTGTGTGTGTGCATGCACACACATGTGCATGTGTGCACACATGTTGTTGTACCCCCTCCCTTTCTTCCATTCTTCCGGACCTACAAACAAAGGCTCTGCCCACCTTCCACGCTAACCAAAGCCCATTCTGCATGTTGTGTACAAAAGACATCATCCTCCCACAAATTCTTTTCCCTGGAAAGCTTCTTTTCCCCGTTCCCCCTGAGATAGCCAGGAGCCTGACACTCTTCCCCTCTTCAAGAGGGTGAAGTGGCTTCCCCTAAAGTTGATGCCCACCCTGTTACCATGTGGACTGGCTGAGAGGAAAGGCTGGTGAGAGGTCTCCACGCCCCTTCCCTGTGTCCACTCCTAACCCTCAGAGTCCAAGCACATCCCCTCCGTCGCAGCCTTAGTTCCGGTTACCATCTTGTGCAGCAAGAACCAAGGAGATCTGTAAGGCCAGGTCTTCTCCACGGGCAGCGCACAGCACTGCCTGCCAAGCCACCGGGCCGGCCGATAACCAAGCTCTACACAGTCCCATGTGCTTTGTCACTTTAATTTTTAAAGACACCCTAGCATAGGTCTGTGTCAACCTAGTGTCCAACTGAGTTACATAAAATTGTACCAGTGATGCACTTGTACATATTTACATGGGGCGGAATGTTTTCCCATATTTTTAGATGAGTATATAGATCAACATGTTCACATAAGACCAAATACTTTTAATATTATTTATAACTGATTTATAAAGCTTTGAAAAAACTCACAATAGCACATTGTTTACTTTAATGCTTTACGGTACTATAAGTTTAAAATCACAATCAGCACTTAAGTTATAGTCAATCCAGCAAACAAGAGACAAAAAAATTTACAAGAGTTAAGAACTGACTGATACATCCTTTATCTTTTTTTTAACTAATGCATAAGTGCAGAATAAGATACTCTAGTTTAAATATCTTGTTTACAATATACATTTTTGTTCTAGTTACGCAACAGTAAATCCCATGCTTCACATAGAAAAGCAATCCACAACATTAAGAAAAAATGTACAATTTATGAAACAAAGTAAATAAATATTAGTATTACAGAATCAGAGCTGTACATAAAAGCTGTTCAGTTTTAATCATATAAAAATATGTTTTAGTGCAACCTCACATATATATTGATGCTGTTTTGCTTTACATCATTTAGATCCAAGTGTCCAAAAAAGGAAAGAAATTACATTTATTACAAAGCAGATACACAAATTCTAAAATATGTACAAAGTACTGCTAAAAAATGCTTATAAGAATATAAGCAAAGTAAAGAAAAGGCACAAACATCTGTACAATTTTAAAAGTACCAGACCCAATAGGTTAATTTCAAATTTTGTTTTGGTCAGGCTCATGATGACTTGTTAATTTACCTAATTCTTTTGATATAACAAAAGTATATATAATAGCAAACTACTGTAACTTAGGACAGGCATGCTATAAACTTGATTACCTCTATTTCTAGAAAAACAAAAACAAAGAACAAAATGGGAAAATGTGGAAATGAAAGTCTCCATGCATCTTAGATCACTGTAGTTGACTCTTCTCTGCTGAAGGCTCATTGCCTCCCTCTGTGCTTGAAGGTAACTCTTTGCAGCTATGAAAGCCCGACTGTTTATCATCCACACGACTCGTGCCATAAAACGTGGAGGGAGCTAATGCAGTCTGTGATGTACCAAACTTGTCCTTTTCACCATCATGCAAGTCAGGGTGGGTGGCTGAGGTGCAGGGCTGACCTGGCTCAGGTCCACTAAAGTGTCTAATGCTAACATGTGCACTTTCCAAGGGTTTCTGGTGGGCTTCCTGCACCTGCACTGGCTGATCTGCCCCAAGCAGAGCGGCCTCTTCTGTGGCAATCCGGAGAGAGGCAATGGCTTTTGTACAAGTCTGAATGTTTTCCTCCTGTTCCCTTTCTGTTGAATTTAGGCTGTCTTCTGAAGTGCTCTGTTTCATCAATAGCCGAGGAGAGGAAGGCGTGCTAGGTGGACCAGATGACTGCAAAACGTGAGGAGATTGCTTCTCATGCTGCTTCAAAAGGACATAGGGATCCTTAGGGAAGGATTCCCTGGAGGCTCCCTTCTTCTCCTCAGAGCCCTCCATTGGCAGAGGCAATGTGGGTGGAGGATGTAAACTGGAAAGGGCCGGTGGCATGGAGTGAACCATTTGGATCCCACCAACTGGCACCATGGGGATAGGAGCTCTCACTTGCTGCTGAGAGTGGAGTGGAAGATGACTGAAGACATAGTCATTAGGACCCTCAGGGAAAAGGCTGGAGCCTGGATGTTCATAAGCACCTTCTTGGTCTCCATAGAGACTGAAGTAAGGAACCTGAGGTAATCCTCTTCTTAAATTCTGCACGGGGAAGCAGAGAGCACAATATTTAGGACCAGGACTCTTCATGTGAGGTCAAATAGATCAAGCTATTTCAGCCACTCATTCATTCACTCATTCATTCAAAACACTTTAAAACTACCTCATCCCTATATTGATTTTTCACTTTTTAGACACAAGAGATTTCTCAGTTGTCTTTTAGAATCCTTGAATGAAGCTGTTGGTCTGTGAAAAGTGACTTTTGTTTTTAAACAGCAATGTGATAAAACATGCAGTGTGTTTTCCACTAGGTACAGAGACACATTTCAGTTCTGTTTTTTTTCGTAAAAGAGAAGGAAAAGAAAATAATGGATAATTACCAGAAAAAGTTCACTGAGCAAAAAAACTAATACTAGGTTTTTAAATTCAAAAGAAAGTAAAACGACTGCCATCTGTTTATATACTGGGAAGACTTTTAATATTTTTCTTAAGTGTTGATGAGTATAATTGGAGTGACAAGTCTGAAAATTGGCTTTTTTTTTTTTAAGTTTTCCACAGAACAGATGACAAAATGGTGGTGACAGACAAACTGGTTAGTCCAATGTGCAAGACATTCATTTAAAGGAATGAATTCCCGCTCAAGAGGCACCCTGGGTGGAAGACTAGCTTCTTTATCAATGATAAATCAAGGCCAGTTTTTGTAAGGCAACTATCCACCAAAATAGTTAACATTAAATATGTCAAACAGTTCCAACTCACTTTCAACTACACAGCTGGGAACTCAAGATTATTATGTCTTAATATCTTCTGTTTATATTATCATGTTCATTTAAATTCCATCTTGGTAATTAATGAATGAGGACACTTAACACTGGGGGCCAGAATTCCAGATTTCATGGTCCCAGTCCTGAAAGAGAACTTATTTTCTGCAATTGTTTCTGTAGCAAAACATAATTTAAGACTATGAGATTATCAGGCTTGAATGAGATTATCAGGTTTCAATTCCTGAGATTTATTCTTTTAAAGGACTGTCATCTAAAAGGTACTCAGTTTATTTTTAGTTTTAGTTTTTGAGAACTTAAAATCAGATAGATATAAACTTGTCAAGTATGGTAGTAATCCAGGAGAGAGACCAAAAAAAAAAAAAAAAAAGTTCTCATTCATTTCAAGGATATTTCTGTTCTAAAGCTCAAGGTATGCTCTATACCATTTATGATTCATCCAGTTCTATTTAGACTGTGAGACCAGCCTGGGAATGATAAATTATGCATTATCTCTATTACTCTGTGTCAGGCTTAGCCCTTACCTTGTTTTGGACTACACCTTATTCAAGCTAGAAACAAATTATTATCCTGGAAGTGCAGGCGAAGTAATGAAATCATCAATCCTATAATCACAAGGGCCTCATAAGTTAGGGAAGGGGAGAATTTTCTAGTATGACAGTCATTTAAATACTACAACAACACAACAACAAATTCCTCTTGTCTTTGCTCTGATCTAGAAAAAGGCATGTTTCCTACATCAAACATCAGTTAAGGTGGAAGAACTGTGATGCCTAGAGTAATAATCTTTGAAGATAATTAAATGAATCCTCTTTTAATTATAATTATCAAAGACTCAAAGTTTCAGATAAAATGTAGCTTGGTCATTGTTTCCATTTTGCTTTTGGTTGCTATTCCGTGACATCCACTGCAGACACCTAATCAGAATGGGGGTCTGTGAGGGGTCAAAGAGAGCTGTCCCATTCATGGGGTCTCTGACTCAAGGCTAACAAAGGGAGTGATGAAGGAAGTGTCCTCCAACACTAAGATGTACTCAATATGTTCTAAATACAATAGAATTCTATTTGTGTTAAGAATGAAAGCGTCATTTTCAGACCTTTACCAATCAGCGATTAAATGATGACAACCCCAGAAGTAAGTGTGCAGTAGAATTTTTACCATGTAAGCACTTCCACTGCTCCAGACACTACCAGGCCTTTCTGCACATCCTCTTCCCCTGCGTTCACCCCTTCTTTACCCTCCAGAGACACTCTCAATATGATTTTTCTACCTTGGTGTTTACCCCATTTGCAACCCTATTTTGTTTTGTAATTTGAGCCTTATCATTGTGATATCATTGTATATCTTGGTAAGAAACACTTTGATATGGAAATGCTAATAATGAACTCATGCGGGTTGTATTATGTGTATGTATATATGTGTGTGTATATATATCCCATGTACCAGGTCTTATCATCCCACTCATCTTTTCAACATTGTCAGTAGGTGCTCTGGAAGCAAATGCAAAGAAGGAGGTAGGAGTGCAAGGAGTTCATTGCAGAGCAGAGAAAGCAGGGGATCTGATGCATGTAAAGGTAAAGAGGAGAGGAAGCATATGCTCAGTGGGGATGGATCCAGGCTCAGTCACTGGCTGGGGGCTGCAGGGAGAGTTAGCTTTAGCTTGAAAACTGAGGTCTGTCCTGATGGCACTAAGAGCACGAGGCTGTCAGTTAACAGCATTCCTCACAGCTGAATGGCTAATTCTTTCAAGGACAGAAATCTGCTTGGCCCACCTCCCTGGCTGCCATAAACAGATTAAGAAACTGTGGCCGAGATGTTAAGTGACTTGCTCAAGATCACACAGATAGCAAGCCATAGGAAGTGGATGGAACTGGAGGGTATTATGCTGAGCGAAATAAGTCAATCAGAGAAAGACATGTATCATACGATCTCATGATATGAGGAATTCTTAATCTCGGGAAACAAACTG